AGCATTGTGTGGAATATTGCCTAAAGCTAGTGAAGTGAGGAAAGGGATATATTAGCTTACAGTGGAAAGATGTTTGAATATGAAGCAAGCATTTGAAGCAAGTAGAAGTCTTGTCCTCACTATTCACCAGCATTTCACCTTTAGGGAAACATAGAATGTAATAAACTGTCCAGGGTTGGTGAAGCCATTTTACTAGCACCATTAAAACAGCAAAGGTCTTTCCATTTACACTTCAACAGTCTAGAGAAGAACCGTCTGCAGATACTGCTAAGAAGTGGATGTAACAGTAAATCTGACCTCTCACGGAGTGTGATAGTACTTGGGAAGTCAATGGGGAGCCGACTATCCAATTAATCAATAGTTTAGGCTTATCAGTTAATCTTGTCTTGTCGACTACATGAATTCCCCTCCTCCCCCACTACCTCTGAATCAGAGGTGGCAAGGGGAGCAAGCAGGATCCAGTTCCCGGGAGGATTCACCTGCCCTCTCCTCCCGCACTGCTGCCTCTGATAGAGAAGCAGCAATGCGAAGGGTGAGGGGAGTAGGCTGGAGCCTATGTGTGTGGGGAGCCAGCTTTCAAGCCAGCTCCGCACATGTATTGGCTCCATGGTTCTGTAAGAGGCAGCAGCACAAGGGTGGGGCAGGGGAGGCTGCCACAGAGTAGCCCCTGTCCATGGGAGGAGTCTGACCTTCCCACTGTGCAGCCTCTATCCCCCAGGACAGATGGCAGCAGTCCCTGTCTAGGGGGGATTTGAGCTCCCCAGCGCATCAGCTGATCCGTCTAGGATGGTTCGGGGCAGCTGCCTCAGGCCCCATACTTGAGGGCCTCCACCGTGGCCATGTCAGCTGTCCTATGGATGGGACAGTCCTCCAAGTTAGCTCCAGGGACTGGGGCAGTTCTGAGGTATTATCTGCAGGTTGGGGGGACCAGGTGTGGGGGCAGCAGCAGGAGTCAGGTTCCCCACACTCACCACAGTGGTGAGAGCTGGAGCTACCCAGCAGCCTGCTCCTCTCTGCCTCCCCACCCATTTCCCAGCTCACTGTGCTCTGCTTCACCATGGCTTCAGGAAGTGGAGCGCCCCAACTGGTTTCCCCCATCCCCTGAATTGCTGCCATACTGAAGCAGGGCACAGCTGGCTGCTAGGTAGCTTTGCCTCCCACTGTTGTGATGAGTGTGGTGGTGGGGACCCTTGCTCCTGCCCTGCACTAGCCCACCCCCAGTAATCAGGCTCAGGTCTTGAGGGCAAGGGGTGCAATGGGAGTGGGAAGAGGTGGAGCAATGGGAGAGATTGGGGAAAAGGATGGAGTGGGACGGTGCAGGGTGGGGGCGGGGCCTGTGACAGGTGCCCTGGGTCTGGTACCTGAGGCGAGGGGAGGAGGGGATAGAGGATTGCCCTGGGCTTCCAGTTAAGGATATCCCTGTGTTGCAGGTGGGGAGAATAGGAGGTGCCAGTTAGTCAAAAATTCTGGTTCGCTAAGAGTTAGACTTGCAGTGTAATGCCAGCTTGCAGAGAACTGGAATACAATGAAGTGAATAACGGTATAAAATGGTGCACAGGTGCTCACCAATCCAGTGCTGCTCTGCACTGCAGAGTGGTGGGTTTGTTGAAGCACTTACATGTATACTGTTTTCTATACAGTAGGTTTTCTTATGACTCTACATATCACTGGGCAGCTTGTGGTGTACACCCAGATCACTAAAAATACACTGAACACTTAAACTAGACTGAACATATTTAACGTTTGATTCAAAAGGCACTTCAAGATCTTGCACTCAGGATCATCAACATCAGTTACCGTTGTGGAAGTAGAAGTTGTAGGAGATTGAGCTGACTCTGTAATGACCCTACGAAACCCTGGAAGCTGCTTTTATTATTATTATTATTATTATTATTATTCATTAGTAAACCCCTGGTATCAGCTTGCTTAATTGTCTACCTCTTTTGCATAAAAGTAGAGTGCAGCGGGTGACAATTGCATAATGTTCTGGGGCTGTGTACTAAATTAAAGTTGGTTACTAGATTAAAGATTTGTATTGGGAGTGATCAGAAATTCTGGTTAATAGGCCTTTCTGGTTGCTAAGGTCCTGAATAACACAGCTTTTCCTGTCATACATACATACACAGTTGTGGCAAGATCCTGCAAGTCCTACATATGTGCACAACTAACTCCCAACTGATGTGAGCAGGACTAATGCATAAGGAGGGGTTGCAGGATCAGACCTTTACTTAGTATTATTCATGCAAGTATCTAAAAGTTTTTATAAATATGAATGAAGTCTTCAAAGCCCCCCTTTAAGTTAGCTCTGTATTAATACAATAGCTGTACAGATGGGTCAGCTAAGAGTCAGGAACAGTTGGGTGACTTAGTCAAGGCTACACAAATTTCGAAGAGGCCTGACGCCAGTGCCCAAAATAGCATACAGATTTTCCCCATTTTAAAATGATTTTCCCCAGTTCTCTTCAATATGGCGAACTGTATTGTCCTTATGAAGATTCTGAATCCACAAGTCCTTTGTTCTTTCCTATTAGCCTTAGTAGTCATTTTATCTGTATATGGTCTTCAAATTCAGACCACAAATAAAAATGCTCATTGGGGATGGGAGATTGTTGGCAATGTCAGATATGCAGAATTTAAGAGTCAGTGTGGTGTAGTAGTGGAGTCTCCATCCCTAGAGGTGTTTTAAGTCTCTCGGCTTGACAAAGCCCTGGCTGGGTTGATTTAGTTGGGATTGGTCCTGCCTAGAGCAGGGGGCTGGACTTGGTGACCTTCTGAGGTTTCTTCCAGCTCTATAATTCTATGATTCTATACAGTGGACTCTAGAGAGGCCGACACTGTGTACCCAGCAACCCTGGGTTGCTGTTCCATGCTGATGCACATTAGCAGACTTCATGGTTCGCATCCATGAGCTGGGTAACTATGACCCTTCCAAAAGCAACCTGGGGCCGGGGGAATGGATTTCCAGTGCCAGAAAGATATTGGTGGCCTCGCATGTTGCTTCTCAGCATGCTCTCCTGGCTCACAGCTCAGGTGTTGTAAGTTTTGTGAAGTGGGCTGGGCCTGCCATTTAATTGCTGAATTAAAGGTCCTACCCTCTTTTCTCTTATTTCCCTTTTACCCCCACAGTGGTTGTGTATCAGGTTTTATATGTTACCTCTGGGAGCAGTCATGGTGCAATATGAGGTGCTTCCCCTCGCCCCCTTCTCCTAGCAGCTGAGGGTAACTTAGCTCTGGCTCAAACTCTTCACCCCCTTGCATGAAAGAGTATAGAGTGTGGCCACTAGACTGGATGGTCCGGATCTCTACTGGATCTATCTCATGCCTAAACATTTGAAGAACATGATTTCATGTCCATTGGAAGTGGCTCACTTTACAAAGGAATCTGGAGTGAAAGAGCTAACATGTAACAACCTTATGCAGCGTAGATAGTGCTTCCTACCAGCCAGAGTGCTCAGATGTGGTCTCTGAATGATGCTAACTAAGCATGTATGGCTCAGCTAGCCAACAGTTAATGCAAGGAATGGGAAAGGATCATCGCCTCTTTCATAGCCTATGCTGGATGGTTTTGCCAGTATGGGATGTAAGAGGGAATATCAGTGCATTCAGTAATGGCTTATCCTAAAATGAGGCCTGTGATCCATTGCTGTTCTTGGTGTAAATGAATCGATAAAAGGAATTTGCTGTAGGATTTTATGAAGTGGGATCAATTGAATACTAGAGAGGGACCCAATGAAACTCTGTTTGGAACTTCAAGCATTGTGCAGAGTTATGCTATGGCAAAGGTCCCAGGTTTAGGGAGGAATCTGAATGTGCAACCTTGATGAAGAATCAGAGAGCTATTTTTTGTGTTTGAATTCAAGCTGTAGGGTTACTTACCTCCACAGCAATGTTATGGTTAGGATTGTGTGTGTGTGTATGTGTGGGGGGGATTAAATTAGCAAAGGTGGACATATTGCAATACCTGTCGCCTGCAGTCTTGAGAAATAGATCCAAAGTTACTTAAAAATATCTGATAGAAATGTAGCCGTGTTAGTCTGGTGTAGCTGAAGCAAAATGCAGGACAATGTAGCACTTTAAAGACTAATAAGATGGTTTATTAGATGATCTAATAAACCATCTTGTTAGTCTTTAAAGTGCTACATTGTCCTGCATTTTGCTTAAAAATATCTGTCTGGATTGCTAGCAGAAGAATCTGGTTATATTTGACCCTAAAGCAAGATGACTTGTAAGGGGCAAATTATTGCTTTTTGATGTATGGCACAAGTATCACATTGACTCTCAAGTGGGAGTGAAACATGTTCAGAGGCAGATTAGAGCTGGATATGAAGCACTAATCTGTAGTACAATCCAAGACTATATATTTCATGCCTGCATTCAGAAAGATGTGAGTGTGCTGAGGGAAAGTATCAGCAAAAGCATTTGAAAGTGATCTCAAAGGAAAGATACAAAGATACCTGTTCAGATGTTGACAGGGTTAAAAAATAGCACATTTCCTTTGAACGTAGAAAACAAACTTTAGAAAGTGTATAGTATACAATATTTCACAAGTAAATCCATTTCCTGTCTCCTCTATTGTTTTCAGCTTGATTAAGTGTATCCTGTTAAACTGTGTATTCCTGGTATGGATATACTTTACTCTGATAAAAAATGAGATTATACACACACATACTTTTTCCCCATAGGTTTTTCATATTGAGTGCTTGGAAAAAAAATGTGGGGAGGACAAAAAACTCTATGCTATTGGTGCTGTGGCCCAGGCTTTGAGATGGTTTGTAGTTGAAATGATGCAATTTAAGGTGTCTTAATTTTGCATATCGCACTGTGGCAACTTGCCAGGAGCCTGAGGGTTGCATATTCAGTTAGATTTTTTTCTTAGCTGCCAATGCTGTCAACCACTATTTTCTTATATTTGCGTCTTCCTTTTTTTATTACAATTGCTTGTGAGGGTTCATCTGCAGTTAAACATTTGATCAACCTTGACTTAATGCTGGACACCCAGGGGCCAAACTTTGCCTGTCCCTGAATTAACACTTCTAAATGTTAAGAGGAATAACTAATGAGACAGATTCCTTTAATCATAAAAACCCCTTCAGTGAATTTGGTCCAATCAGGCATGTTAGGTGCATACACAACACACTGGGAAGCAAAGTAATTTACAATCAGCAGAAAGAAAAATGTATAGTTGAGTTCTTAATATAATGAGGGAAAAAGACAGGAACAAAGGAGTTAAGTTGACACTGGACTATTTGTAACAAAAGTGGAGGATTTTTTTTCTCTCTTGAAGGTTAATATTAGGGATGTAAACCGTCCGGTTAACCATGTGCCATGGGCCTGCTCACTGGGTAGGTAACTGGTCACCTGTTTACATCCCTTGTTAATATTTTCATCTTAACATTGTAGTTTTGTTCTAAATTCAAAGTACAAAGCCATCTGTTTAAACTCTTACCAAACTCTGATAACTTTACTTAAAAGATGGCAAGCCTGATTTCATTAACCTGTGACTTGGACAAAAAGATCCCAGCCCTTATGTCATTTTTGCATGCATTGAGTAATGATTAAGTGGTAGCGTAGAGTTTAGACAAGGGTGATGAGTTTAGGGTGGATATATTATGATGAATGGTGGTGTCTGTGCAGACAATTAGTAATAGCTTCCTGTTGAACACTTTGGAATGCACGTTCTGCTCTTTGACGTTCTTTACCGCGTGCTAAAAAACTAATATATACTCATTTCTTATTTTTTTCCCCTTTGCTGCAGCAGATTGTCCAGATTCTGTGCCTTCCTCCACTGAAACAGGGGGAACTAATTGTCTAGCCCCTGGGGGGCTTTCAGGTAAGACACATTATTTGTGGTGAGCTTTACTCACTCCAGCCTCCTTGTGCATCCAACGCTTCTGTTGATTTGAATGAAGTAAGAATGATGCCGGGACAGTATAAGATTATGGGTCACTTTCAAAGGGAGAAGTAGGCTCCTAGTGCCCACTAATTTTCAACAGGAGTTAGGCACCTGGGGACAAGTGGACCTGTGGGGAAAATTTAATATTGGTAGTGGTTGAGTACAGGGTATAAATTACTTATAGAGAATTGAGCAGGTGAATACCACTATATTCTTATTTGTGCCTTATTTACACAGGTGGCACATGGATTTCAGTGAGGCTAATTGTGTAGATAAGATAACACGGAGTCCGGTGGCACTTTAAAGACTAACACGTGTATTAGGGCAAAAGCTTAGAATTTGACTGGTGGTCTTGAATCCTTGTAGGGTTTTTGTTTGGTTGTGGTAACTAGTTTTTGCACCGCCTTCTAGCTATAGCACATTCAATAATGGCATCCGTGGTCAGTATATTGTACCTTTGCATGAGGACATCTGAGCCAATGAATGTTTTCCATTCCAGCCATTGTGTTCTTGTATGATACTAAGCAATGGTTGCCTGAAGACTGTCTATAATAGGCTAACAATCACCTGAGAAATATTAGGGGAACTGTGTCTGCGTTTTATGTATCCCGGGCTATATTATATCTGTTTCTGGATGGACTGGCAAGGTGATAGAGAAGGCACATAGGAGCCCATGCCGAAGGGGCAGGTAAAGACAGTATGGCTCTCAGATCTGCTAGCCAGCTGGCTAACAGCATGATCTGGGGATCTGTTGGGCTGGATACAGCACCTGCACAAAGATTGTTGTGTTGGGAGGAGAACACTTGACTGCACCTTTTGTACAGGTGCATGAAAAGACATTTCCCAGTCCCCTGCTCTTAGCATCCAGCAGACCATTTTGGCCTGTTTTTCAGAGCCGGGAACTTTAATGAGACCTGCAGATCAGTCCTTTCAAAGGTATAATACCTTATTCACTTCCTTCTTTTTCCCAGAACAGCTTTGCCTTTCAAGAAATATATCTGAGCCTTAAATGCAGTTGCTAATACCATGACTTCATAATTTGTCTTAAAATATGAACCTGCATGGTCTACTATAGTTGGAAGGTACTTTCCCTCTGTCAGTGAATCTCTGTGATTTATGATTTGTGGAGCATTTACTCAATTCATTGCCCTGTGACTGGAATTTTAGAAATATGTAGTTTGCTGGTTGCTACTGCTGCTTCTATGTGTGTCTTCTCTCCAGGAATTTCATTTGGTGTGGATGTCTTTAAGTGAGCCTTGTTTGTTTTTCTTTCAGTGTAATATATACCCTGCCTGTTATTTGAGAGGGAAGCATATTATTTGTTCAAAGGCCCTAACGAGAATTAATCAAAGGAGGGGGGAGAAGGGCAACTTGTGGTTGGTTTCTGTTTTGTGGGGTGGAGGGCTGTTGGTGGTGGTAACTTTAGGGAAGAATGTGGGGAGAGAAAAAGGATTGGAGAAGGGAAACTGGGAAAAGAACAGAAACAAGAAATAAAACAACACAATAAGGATGTTAGATCATTTTTTTCCCTCAAGAAATATGTGGGGTGGGTGGGGAGGGATTGAGTTCCACAGGATACCACATGAAATAAGTAAAGGAAGTACTAGCTTTTAAAAGGGGGTTTTGTGAAAGGTTTGTGTTATTGATAACATCTCGTCTGTCTAGTCTGCTCCTGAAGGGACCAAGGGAGGTGGGGATTTGGGCTGCAGGAAATAACATAGTTTGCCTATGAATGCCTTCTTAAGGAGTTAGCTATGGAAGTTTAATTTCATAGCACAGCAAGAACTGGCAAAGGTACTCTACATGGGAAAGGTTTATTAATATATCCTCTTCTGCAGTTTGCAGAAGGAGGCACTGTTCCTTTTGAGGGGTAATTTTTTTTTCTGTCTTGGGTTATGAGAAGTTTTCCAGCCCTCCCCCCCCCAAAATGGGAAGCTTTTAGGATCATTAACCTCTCTTTCCCCACTCCCCCCATCAGTGCTTTTAGTTTAATGGGGAGCCGATAGGAGTGTTGACTCATGGCGGGATATGGTTAGCTGTGCAAGCTGGGAGACAAAGTTGAATGCCTCCACATGAAAGAGCATTTGTTTTGAATTTGCTCTGATTTACTGGCAACTTGGTTCTACACACAGAAGTGCAGCTCTGAAAATTCCCAACTGAAGAGACCCAGTCAAGCAAAGAAAAAACGCAGTTTGCAGCAGTTCTCTAAAGCTAACTTTCTTTTTCATATGGTTAGCTGTGCAAGCTGGGAGACAAAGTTGAATGCCTCCACATGAAAGAGCATTTGTTTTGAATTTGCTCTGATTTACTGGCAACTTGGTTCTACACACAGAAGTGCAGCTCTGAAAATTCCCAACTGAAGAGACCCAGTCAAGCAAAGAAAAAACGCAGTTTGCAGCAGTTCTCTAAAGCTAACTTTCTTTTTCTACAAACTTTGGTAGCACAAACAGTGTATTTGAACAAGGCTTTAATGAGCTATTGTCAAACTGCACTTAGAGTTTTATTTCTGTCTGAAGGGAAAAGCTCTGTCTTCTCTATTTAAACAGACAATAGTTCACAGATGCCATACATAAAGCATATCCTCTCATCTTCTTTTCACTCTTTGGAACTCATGAGTTATATGGTGAGTTGCTTTATGACTGTATCCCAAAAGGATGTTTTACTGGATTAAAAAAAAGCCCTAAATTGCTGTGCCTCTGATTAGCTTGTACTGACTGTCCAACTGCACAGCATTGGGATTGAATGGATCAAGATGATGCTTTTTAGCAACACTGGAAGCTCCAAAGGGCCTGACATGAGGCGTCACCCTGGCAACCACTGAGGAGCAGCCACCTCTGGTGTGGAATTTGGCAACTGTTAAACAGTGCTCAGCCACGCCACAGGGAAAAGGAGACTGAACCATTTGAAGGTAAAAAGGTAGCATGTAGGAAGGCAGAATGCAGTCGCCACAGATGAAATTTGAGAATTGGGACAGGATACTGCAGTTAACGCCCCTCTTCCTGGGGAATGGGGCCAGTGCCATAGCATCTTAAGAGACTGGGATATTGCAAGACCAATAATACTACAACAGAAGCAGCGCATTTAAAAAATGCTCCTCCGGTCCTCCTGAAAAATGCAGAAAACTGGATCATTTTAAGTAGTCTCAGTTCCAGCTACACATTTTTCATTCTTCTTTATGAAACACAGGGTGATTTCAAGGATGAATGACAGGGGTAACCAAGATAGCAGAGCTGAGAGGATGTAGGAGGGTGACCAGTGTGGAATGATGAGGGTAAGAGCTTCTATAAGTGTTTTCCCCCTTGAAATAACCAATCTGAGCCTCTCTTTCACTTGCTCTGTTTTCTGTTTTTCTTCCTGGCCTAGGTTGCACTGCAGCGCGCCAGCTTAATGAATGGGGCTCAGTTCGGGGTGGGAGGAAGGTCGGGAGCTTGGAGCCAGGGACTTGATTCTTTTGGCAAGGGAAGAAAAAAAAATGGAGCTGAATGTGAAAACGTAATCCCATGGGGGTCTTCACAAAGGAACCGGTTCCTCCTGAAATGCACAGAGGTGACCTTTAATTCACTGGTGCTGCCCTTTTATGTTGTATGTGGCACTTTAAAAGGAGCAAGCCTTAAGAGTGGGGGGAGGGAAGCAGGAGGAGGGAGGCTGAATTTTGGGAAAGGGGAGGGGGAACCCTGACAGCACAACCACTCTAAACCACTGGGACCTAGTTAACTTTGGTTGTTTTTTTTTAAATATATCTCTAAAGGTGAAAATCCGAATAGCAAAACCCATGGAATCTACATGGCAGCTTGGTTCAATTTTAGTGCAGTATCAGTTAATCCATTACTGCAAAGGAAAAACATGCCAGTCTTCTCTCTTTCCCCTCTCAGTCTCTCTTCTCTTTCTCTCTTCCCTTTTTAGTCTCTGTAACTCCATTTGGCTTGGTTTGGTTTTTGTTTATTTGTTTTATTGCCTATTTCCTTGCTGGCTTGCTCTCTTTCTTGCCCAGTTCAATATTCCTTGCTTAAGAAATCTCACACCAAAGTCAATCAGAGATATTCTTGCCTGTGTAGTAAGGAACTAGATTCTCTTTCTTTTAAACTAAATCAGTTAACAAAAGCACAGTGATAAAAAGAAAAAAGAATTCCCTTAAATAGGGAGGACAGGCTGTTTTTCAAATGTAGTCTGATCTGACTCTCCCCCAGGAGATGTTGTTTGTGATGGTGCTTTAGTTTCTAACAAATAAGCTGTGGTTGCATATGTGGGATGGCTCAGCCTCTCCTCAAAAACAGAAGTCTTCAAAGGGCCTCGGAGCGGCTGCTTCATGATGAGCTGGCTTGTGTCCTGGTCATCGCTGCTTTTTCTTAAGGAATATTAATAAAATATCAGACCCAATAAGTGAGAAAGATTGGTGTCCCAAGTGGAGGTGTCTTTGAAATACACTCATTTTGGACTAGATCCCGAATCCATGGAAGTTGATGGATATGTTTTTCCTTGCGTTTTGGGGTTTTGGATCAGGCCCTGGCTGTATGACTACACCTCAGGTTGTGCTTTTGAGACCTTCTGTGGGGCTGTTCTGAAAGGCAGGCACCTAACACTGTGGTGGCTTAAAACAAACATAACCGCTTTGCATTCTGGATTAATGCCTTACTTTTGTTTAAAACAGAAGCTGAAGTGACAGGAAACAACATCAAGAAATTTGTCAGCACTTTTGATCCCCATTCTGTCACCCTTCACCTCAAAATCTCATCTTCTTTTAATGGAACACGTTAATTCAAGTTTGATTCATCTTTACTACAAAAGTGCCAATGTGCAGCTGACTGACATTTCATTATGAAATAGCGGACAGGCCTGGAATGTTTCACTATGACTTTGATCCCTTCTGGTATCTGTGTCAGCTTGGGAGAAGCACCTTTTATAAATCTAGAACTATTCACAATAGAAGCACAATGATT